GCAGGTTCAAAACTGTTGTGGGGTTTTTCATGCCTCCTTCATTCCCATTATCCCATCAGATGCAAGTCTTGTCATTCTCTTGCCGAAGACTTTCCCATATACTCTTCTTACTCCTCTCACTGATACTGCCCTGCTCAAACGTAGCCCGGCCCCTCATTATCCTTACCTGAACCACTTAAATAACCTATCCATGTTCAATCCAACTTCCATAATAGCTACCATTAATTTTCCTAAAGCAATGCTTTCTTTGTTCAAAACCTTAAAAAATTCCTTAGTTTAATTTTCAAAGCCCTGAGCTACATTTCACCTTCTTCATACTTAAAGAATATCACTACGCAACACTTTTGAAATTGAGAAGACTAGCTACCTCAACAATGTCCACTTAAGAAACACACAATTTCTCTTTACACCAGAGTGGGAGGAGAGGGGAACAAAACTGGACTTAGACTTTGTTTTTAGTCTTATTTCTATGTATAATGCTCTTCTCTTCCAATATCCATCTGTCGAATTCTAACTAGCTTTCAGGCCTCATTTCAAACACAAAAAACTCTCCCATATGTCTTAGCCAGAAGTTAATTTATCTCCTCCCAGTGCCTATTCCACTTTCATGAAGTCTTAAGACATTTTTCACAAATCCCTTAGTATTTGTGCCTTGCGTATGCATCTCTGGCCCTCTCTATGCTGTTGCTTTAGAAAGAAGATGGTGTACCTTATTCATGGTTGCTCGGCCAGAGGACCCAGCGCAAATCCTTGCAAATAATCTAAGCTCAAAAAACAGGAAATAGAACCAAAAGTATCACTTACTGCTGAGATGAAAGGAAATGAGATCAAAGTCCTGCTTGGGAACCCAGTTTACATGTCAGCATACTAGGATAAGGTGACTCACAATACATCTGCCACCAATTAGCAACAAGACTTTGACCAATCCCAACCTCTGAACTATTTCTCTATCTGTACTAATTAGAGGGTAGAATCAGATAGTCTTTTTGGCCCCTTCACAGCTTTAAATAATTATTAAATAACCCATACAGAAAGGATATAAAAGCAGTGAAAAAGGAAATTAGGAAATCTAAAAAGAAATCTAGAGATGCCCTGACTGGCCTCACTGACTTTTCACTGGAATTCCCTATGAAAATCTTCCCTCATTAAGAACCTTATAATTCATTACAAAGATTCTCATCTAATCTAGAAAATAAAACAAAGGCAAAACCAGAATCTAAATCATTGATATTAAAAAGGTAGGTATGGGCCATCAAAAGACAGACAATATCATTAATTTATAGTGCTATATACTGGTTCACACAATTCTCTTTTAAAGATTTAGAAGCCATCTCAAGAATTTACAGAAAAACAAGTGACTCAAAAGCCAGCAAGTGATATTGTACCATACCTTGTGATGACATGCAAAAATTGTGGCGTGAGCACTGCCTGCTGAGACCTCTCAGGATATTGATAAATTGACATTAATTCAACAGATTTGACAACCATGTAGAGATAGCCCACATGAGGTAATGAGAAAAAACAAAAGAGACTCAACAACTCTTTTTCCTGAGATGAATTTTTTCTATCAGAAGTAAGAGAACCTGTATGAAAAAGGGTAAAAAAAAAAAAAAAAATGAAACCAGTAAATAAAGGGAAGTAATATCTTGACTTTTTTATACAAAAAAAGTAAGTCAGTAGATAACCAAAGAGTTGTTTAGGGGAAATTGCTCTTTATAAAAGAATGCCAGTAAGAAATAAAAAGAGAGTGATATAATTAGAATATCACCATATTGTAACCCCTAATAAATGAACTGATCTAGGTAATAATCATTAAGGGCTATTAACATCGCAAAAAGAGTCAACCAGATACTATGTACCTTCCAAAAGACTCAACACTACTTGTGTTAGCCTCAAAGTAATAGTAGTAATAATAACAATAATAATAATCTGATCCAGCCTAATTCTATACTAGCACCATCAAAAAAAATGTAATGTGAGACACATACGTAATTTAAAGTTTTCTAGTAATCACATTTACATAAGTAAAAACTGTCAATATTTTAATAATATATTCTATTTACCCAACTAAACCAAAATATTACCATTTCAACAATCAACAAAAAAATTTGAGGTATTTTATAGTCTGTTTTTTGTACTAAGTCTTTAAGATCTAGTATGAATTTTACATTTATAGTATATCTCAATTTAGACTAGTCACATTTCAAGTGCTCAATAGCGATATGTGGCTAATGGCTGGCTAGCTACCATAATGAACAGTGCAGCTTTAGACAGACCTATCAAATCACAGGGAAATACAGGAGAGCATATTAAATGACACTGTGGGGAGTCAATCAGCAAAGTTCAGGTTGTGGGAAATTCTACAGTATTAGTTCAGTTTCTTGCTAAATAAATTGCAAAGTAAAGAGAAGGAGGGAGAGCCTACTGTTAAAAGAGACTTTAAAGACACAGTAAACAATTGCAATGTATGAACCTTACTTGGAATCAATCTAAATGAATTAAAGAAAAAAATTTTAGACAATCAGGGAAATTTGAACACTGGATATTTGATATCAATGAATTTTTAAAGTAAAATGGTATTTTAGGTTTGTTTAAATAAAAGAATCTTTTTCTTTTAGAAACACTGAAATGCTGAAATATTCATGGTTCAAATGGTATGAACTCCACATCTAAATAACTTGGCACAGAGCAGGGACTAGTCATGAGGCAACACTGTTGAAGTTGTGTGATGAGTACATGGGATTTATTGCACTATTTTCTCTACATCTAAGTGCTTGAAACTTTTCATAATCAAACTTTTTAAAAAAATATATAGCTCTGATTGATACTCTTCAAGGATACCCATTAATAACAGAAGAAAGTCCAATTCTGCATTCCCTACAATTGGCCCAAAGCAACCTTTCCAGTTTTTCTCCCTTTTCTTTCCTATGCACATCGATGCTCCAGTGAGACAGGGCTGCTTGCTAATCTCCAAACACACATGATGCTTTTATACCCTACACATGTTGGTTCTCCTTATGTAGTGCCTCACTAAAATCTCCATCTTCTAAAAGCTCTACTCATCCATTATTGCCCACCTCAAATATGCACTACTTATTCATTCATTTGCCTATTAAGTAAACATTCTTCAGATAACGACTAACTGCCACTGTTCTAGGTTCTGGGGATACAGTGCACAAGACAAGGTAACTGCATTCATTCTAGCAATGGAGACTGGGGTGGTGAATAAACACACTCTGCAGTATGTGGAGAAGGAACAGTTTAAATTAAGAGGTCACGTAAGTCCTCTATGGTGAGGTGACATTTGAGCTGAGTTGAGTGACTCAAAGATACCAGTCATGCAAGATCTGAGGGAAGCACATTCTAAGCACAGGAAGAGTAAACAAAAGGTCTTATACAAGAGTGCACCTGATATAGCTGAGGAAAAGAGAAAGGCGTTATGGATGGAGAACAGTAAGCAGGGTGAGTGGGACAAGATAAGCCTAGAATTAGGGTCAGGTAGAACATAGAAACAATTTTGGATTTTATCCCGTGTCATGAGAAGCCACTGGATACAGTGTTGGCTGGCCCTCTAACATGGCTATGGTCCCTGCAAAGTCTTAAACCTCATCTCACAACCCCTTCTCTCTTGCTTGACTCTTCCCACTTTTACTTCTCTCAGTTCCTCAAACAAGACTCGCTCTCTGCCATAAAGCCTTTGCTGTTGCTTCTGTACCAACCCTATCCCCAAACCAGCACCAATTCACTCTTCAGATCTTCCTTCTTAGGAAGCGTGCCCTAACCACCAGACAAGGTCAGGATCTTTTGTTATAGGCTTTCAAGGCAGGGTTCTTTTCCCATAGAGCACTCATTTCAGTGTCTAACTATGGAAGCCTTTTTGTGATTAACCGATTATGAACTGTCTGCTTCCTCCATGAAACAACAAGCTCCATGAGTGCAAGCACTTTGCCTACTTCTGCTCATTACTGGTTCCCTAGTATTCAGCATAATACTCAACATAGTAGGCACTCAATAAATATCTACTAAAAGAAACAAAAAAGTAACTGAAGGTTATAAACACTTTTAATCAGAATAATATTTATATCTTTCTCTAGGCAACATCTAAAGATGTTAAGCAGGCCAGGACTAAGCACAGAACCCAATGCTGATCCTCAGTCTTGGTTGCCCATTACACTCCTATTGAGCTTTTAAAAAATACGAATATCCAGGCTCCATAACTGACCATGTCAGAATCTCCAGCATGTAGAGCCTGAGCATCACTATTTTTAAAAGCATCCAAGTAAGCCCAATGTGCAGCAAGCTGAAAAAGTCTGCTCCGGATAAATTTCCCTTCAGTCCACATTTCCTCACCTAGTTCACAAGGCCATCATGAGAAGCTTTGCCAAATACCCAGCTGGAACCCAGATAAACCTCAGCTATAATAGTACTCTGATTTCCCTTTTTGGGTCTAGTGACCATTTTTCAAAAAGGGAAATGGGTTTTGTCTATTATGTCCTCTCCATGGCTTCTCCTAGCAGACCCAACTTCCCTTTCTAGTGCTCACAGGGATATGCTAAGGAACTTGTCCAAGGTTCTGTAGAAGAACCTAACCTATTACCCATGTCAGTCTCCCCTCCCAGCCCAGAGCCTTTCTTACCTTACCGCACAGTATGACTGTCATACTTACCTGTTTGGTAAATGGGTAGCAGCTGAAGTGAATGCAACTTAATGTCATCAGATAAGACATAGGATGAAATATCAGGAGCAAAACGTCTGTGAGTTTCAAAAGAGAGAGAGAGAGAGATCTAATTTCCATGTACTTTAAGTAGGTAAATATATATTAAATGCTGGTGAATCAAAGCTTTCCAATACCTATAGAGCAGGTGCTGAACATGGAAATAATTTATTTTTTCATCATCTAATCCCGTTGATTCCAGTGTAATAGATATTCCAGACTGTTCACTTTTTTCACCAAGAAGTTCCATGGGCTTTTGGCAAATAACAAAATCATCTGACTCAGACTGCAAAGTTTCATTACTGATGCCTTAAAAAATAATATTTAAGAAAAAGAATTTAATAACTTTAAATACTACTTGAATGAAAATTAGATTTCACAACATCCCCTCTACCAATAGGCATGTAAAAATTTTATTTATTTATTCACACACACACCTCACAAGGCACTATGGTTTTGAAGTCTTAGCACTTGCTCATTTATCCTCACAACTGATGAAGTACACAGGACTTATTATTACTATCATCCCCATTTTACACGAGGAAACTGAAACTCAGAAACAGTATTCCAAGTCCAAGGGTATTCAAGTAGTAAATATGAGAACTGGGACTAGAAACTCCTCATCTAGCAGTAGTTGTTCCATTATTTCTATTGACAAATATTATTGAAATACATGTACATGCTATAGAATAAGACACAAGTAACCAGATCATAAACCCAAATCCCATGTTTTAAGAATAACTAAATCTATAAATAATGTGGCTTGACAATAGATATACTAGAGCCCTTCAGAGACTGCCAGAAGTTAAGTGTTTTCTCTATACTTACACAAGCAAGCAAGCTAAATTCATCATTTACCTTCTGCCTGTTTCGCCGGATTGTTGGTCTTATGTGGATGGTGGTTAAAACTCTCTCCATTTTTAGGATTTGACTCCAATTTTAGGATTAAGACTTCTAAGTCTGACATGACAGCGACATAGCTAACACAAAAAGAAATTTCAACAGGAGTGATATTATGTATGTGTATAATTAAAGAACGTTCAAAATCCAATACTGAGAATTCTTCATTAATAATCTGATACTTCAAACTAAATAAGACTAATTTATTTGTGCAGCCAACAAGAAGGTCTCCTTTCACAGGGCAACAGGAAATGCACAAGGGAGCCTCAGAAAGTGGCATTTCAACAATAGACATCTGGTCTCTGAAGGTTTCGCGGAAGGGTGCCTCTAAATTATGTCCAACCATTCGGATACACACTCGGGAGTTCTCAATCCTTTTACTTCTCCAGTTCACATAAGCACGCAGAAATGTAGCTTTGTTTTTCTCTTCAATTGCTACCAAATAGTCTCCTGAAAAGGAAATAAGATTACACTTAAAATTTGTCATTAAGAACCACTTACCTTGCTTCATGAAAAGGAATTATTAATGAATCTTAATGTGAATGGTTGAATTAAAGACTGACTAGAAGAAAACCCTAAGTAACAGGACCTTAGGTATATTTTAGCTGATATTAAGAATTTGGGTTCTGAAATACAATCTCTCTACATTCAAAAGTCTTAAGATACCCATTAATTATTCATGCTTACATAGAAATTTCACATTTTATTCCTTATATTAGCTTTAAATGTTTACTATAGTTCTGAATCTACAACTCCAACAAAGCTCTCATGATATACAGAGTTCAGTAGTATTAATCTGTTTAGATTAGGTATAAATTAAAGAACTCTGAGGTGAGAACTACAATCCCTTTCCTTCCCACAAATTCACATCTTCATGTGAACTCTAATAGGATAAAGCTGTACATACGAAATAAAATTTAAATCCAAGTTAATTTTCTCTTAATTGTTGATCTAAATTTTTTAAATTAAAAAAAAAAATTGTAATTACTTTTCGTTGTGAGAAGTCCAAGTGGTAAAGGGATATGAAATGAAAAGCAAAATGATCTCTTCCCTGCAGTCCAATCCATGAGGAGCCAATGTTAACACCCGTAGCCTGGCATGTTGCCCTTCTACATCATTATCTCATTTAAACATAGATCACAGAGTGTTTTGTTGTTGTTGTTTTTTTTTTACCAAAATGAAATCACACTAAATATATGTAAAGAGCTACAACTTTTAAAAATTACCAATAAATCTTTCCCTCCAGGTCAATACATGGATAGTTAACATTCTTTTCAATATCTGCATAATATCCTATATATACATGTGCCATAATTTATTCAACAATTCTCCTATTGATAGACATTCAAGTATTCACAGTTGTTTTTCATTTGTTTGGTTTTTTTTACTACCATACTTCATGCTGTAAGAATAGGCCTATACCTACATATTTATTTACTGGAAGGCTGTTTCAATGGTATAGACACCCAAAAGTGAGAATGTTGGGCCAAAGGGCTGGTACATTTTAAATTTTAATAGATACTGGCAGATTACTATCACAATTACATATCAGAAATTCATGTTGCCAGCAGCACCATTTGACGTCTGTTTTCCTACATCCTCATTAGCATGGACTTGATATGAAGGGGGACACAGACTCTCATGGTTATTATAATTTATATTTTCCAGGCCACTAATAAAGCCATCTTTTTCTATGTTTACCAGTAATGTATAATTTCTCTTCTGCAAGTTACTCACTTTTTTATTTGCATTTCCTTGGTAATGTTGAAAATGATTTCATTTGCCTGTTGAACACTGGAGAAATGTCTATTAAAATCCTTTCCCCGTTTTTGAATTGAGTTGTTTTTCCGTTGTTGAGTTACAAGAGTTCTTTACATATACTGGATCCCTTATCAGATATATGTGTTTGAAATTTTCCATACGAAAAGGTTTTTGTTTTTTTTTTCTTTGTTTTGTTGTTGTTATTGTTTAAAGTGTCTGGTTTGAGTGGAACCCAGCCACTCAACCACCGGCCTTTCTGGCTAGGGCTCCAGGCAACTGGGAGCAATCAGCATCCCCGCCCCCTAAAAGCAGGCTCTCATCTGTGCTTGCCACGACAACCGCAAGGCAAAGCGTATTTTCAGTAACCAGCCGGGCCACCAGGCGAGACCATCCGGCAAGTTCCCGGAAACACAAAGCCCCTTTCCCACCCAGAGGTGCCGAGGACGCTTGGTCCGCTAAGAAGGAGGCCCCAAACAGTGGGTAGGGGCTCAGGTGCCTCCTGGTCCCGTCATTACTCACCAGCCTCGCTGTAAGCCAAGCGCAACACGCGGCCCAGCGTGGAGAAGGTGCACCTCGGCTGGCACAGCTCCTGGCCGGCCACGGCGAACGCCTCCACCTTGCAGGGCACTACCTGCTGCGACCCGAATGGGTGCAAGTTGTACAACTGCACCATTGCGGCGACAAGCAGCGTGCCAGTACGGCGGTGCTCGCTTGTGTCTGCCGGCGCCGAAGGGCGCCCGGAGACCCCGCGAGGGTTGCGGAGGAGGGACCACTTCCGCGAGCGATTGCAAGGAGCCGAGTCATGTGACCTCCAGCCCGGCCAGCCTGCGGTTCCGCTTCTTAAAGAGGCCGCTGCCATTCGTGGCTGGAGCTTGGAGAGTGGTAACACCCATCCCGCCCCGACCTGCTCAGCTCCGCCCGAGCCCGCACCCCACCGGCATTTGGTCCCAGCGCCTTGCATTCAGATGGCCAGTCTTGCTAACGCTCTGTGCTCTGTGGTCGGCCTGCGCAGGCACCGCAATGTCCTTCCCTTCGTGTTTTCACGTTACCACTTTTGGCTAGGAGAGATGTTTAGGCCCTTGAATATGCTTTAACATTTGATCATCTGCTCTCATGTACTATTTCCTACTTGCTTCAGGGGCATGATTATTGGGGGCATAAGCTCCCCAATAATCATGAGCTTCTAGAGGATCGGGCTGCAAAACAATAATGAAGTGCACACGGCTAGACTCTGTGCTAAACACATAGTAAAATTGCTCAGAAATACTGTAAATTCTAGAATGGTTTAGTTGGAAAGAGCAACGGCTAGAAAGTGCTTGGCCAAAAATAAAGTAAAATACCGAATGGAAGAATCTGTGCACATCATCTAGTATTCCAAGTATTTAACAAGAGATTAGTTTGCGCCCCAGAGGATAGTACTAAGGGCCAGTAATTCGCTGGCTCTCAGTCCTAAACTATCCTGTAATCTGTACCCTGTTTCCATTCCTAACACCTGGAACATGGAATTTGTGGTTGCGATCTCATTTTTTTTTACAGATTTAGATGAAGCAGGAATTGTGGCTAATTCTTCTAATTCATCCAGAAAATGTACATATAAGTATAGAGTTAGGACTGTTGCTTTTGGCACACAGGGACAGAACTAAAAAAAAAAAGCAAAATTTTCTTTAGCCAATTTCTAGTTCAGTGACCCTCATGAGCCCTCCCAAGAATTTACAAAGTAGGTGCAGTTGGATTGAAGTTAAATTCTGCCTCTATTTTCTGTGCCCTTCAGATGAATAAAGTATGACAGGTTCATCAAATTCTGTGCCCTTCAGATGAATAAAGTACAACAGGTTCATCAAATTCAGTGAGGCGGAGATGTGGACAAGCAGGTTGCTCTGGTCAGCCAGTGAGGGCTGAAAACTCATAGAAGGCTGCTAAATAAAACAGCCTAATAACCCACATTTAATAAAACAATAACCCATATTGTTTTAGATACCATATTCATGAACACTCTTTTTCTTCTACTAATATCTGCCATATTGTCCTTTCAATTCATTTTCTCCCTTAAGGCTGAAAATTACAATTTCAGTAATAAATAATTACAATTTCGGTAAAAAAAATAAAATTTCAAAACTAAAAGTATAATTTCATTGTAATTTCACCTGTATAAAAAGTCTTTTTTTTTGGAGAAAGAGGCTAAGATTTGTTTAAAGCCTGGAACCCCAAAACCTTCTGGAGATACCACTTCTTCCTTACTAGAAGGGACCCTACTGTTGGCTCATCTAAGATTCTTAGAAAATAGACATGCTAGCCAAGGGAAGGTGAGGGATATGTCTAGTTTCTGTGTTTGTTAGGAATTGTGAATAGGGCTGCCTACTTGTAATCCTGTTACAAATGCAGAGGTAGCAGTGGGCACACTGTCATTTCTTTATGGGAGGCTGTGTTAGGCTGCTAAGGTAGCTATAAAAAAAAAACCACAGACTAGATAGCTTAAACAACAGAAATTTATTTTTCACAGTTCTGGAGGCTGGGAAGTCCAAGATCAAGTTGCCAGAATTAGAGGGCTCTCTTTAGCTTTGCAGACTGCTGCCTTCTTGCTGTGTCCTCCTCACTTGCTGGCAGGGGCTAAGGAGTTCTGTAGGATCTTTTTTTATAAGAGCACTAATCCCATTCATGAGGGCTCCTTTCTTATGTCCTAATCACCTCCCAAAGGCCCCACCTTCTAACACCATCACATCTGGCAATAGTACATATGTTCCTGGCATCATTAGTCATTAGGGAAATGCAAGTCAAAACCAACATTAAAAAACACTACACATATGCTATAATTAAAATTAAAAATGTGAATCATAACAAGTGCTGGCAAGGATATGGAGCAACTAGTGTGGATGTTGAATGGTACAAAAACTTTTGAAACGGAAAGTTAAACATGTACCTAATATGTGATCCAACCATTCTACTCCTCGGCAATGAAAAGGAACAGATAGATACATGCAATATGGATAGATCTCAAAATAATTGTGCTAAATGAAAGAAGCCAGTTAAAAATAGTACATACAATTATTTATATAAATGATTCTATTTATATAAATTTCTAGAAATACAAACTAATCTATAGTAACAGATAGCAGTGGTTACCTAGCTCTGAGTTGGGAACATGGGTGTGAGGGTGAGATTAAAAAGGAGCATGAGTAAACTTTAAAGAGTGGTGGATATGTTCATTAACTTGATTTTGGTAATGTTTTTATGGGTGTGTACGCATATCATTATCTATGAGATTGTATACTTTAAACATGTGGATTTTTTTTTAAGACCACAAGACATACAATGGTTAAGAGATCTACTCCAAATCATATTGCTAGAGACAAAGCTCATTGTATGAACCTCAATCACATAGCAGTTACTTCATAAATATCTGTTTGAAAACCTAAAATAAGAGGAGAAAGAGCTAGCATCACTTTCCCACTCAAAATATTCAAACGAATTCCCATGATATTCAGATGAAAACATATTTCTTTGCTTGGCCAGCAAGTCCCTACATTTTCTGGCCGACCTCATTATCTCTCTCCAACCCCATTTCCTACCACTCTCTTTCATTTCACCCTAGACACAGAAGCCCACTCTCTGCTCATTCTCTCCTTAGAACCTTAGTGCTTCCTGTTCTCTTTGCCTAAACTTGTTCCCAGATCTTCCCATGACCTACTACCCCCACTTCTTTTCAGGTCCTTTCTAATATTACTTTCCTCTCTTTTCCCATTTTTGCAGTGGGAGGCATCATGAGCAGCAGTCTCTCACAACACCCTCTATGAGGCGGTGCGGGAAGTCCTGCATAGGAACCAGTGCAAACACTGGAAGATTTGGGAGACAGTGGAGCTGTAGATCAGCTTAAAGAACTATGATCCTCAGAAGGACAAACGCTTCTCGGGCACCGTCAGGCTTAAGCGCACTCCCTGCCCAAAGTTCTCCATATGTGTTCTGGGGAACCAACAGCACTGTGAGGAGGCTAAGGCTGTGGATATTCCCCACATGGATATTGAGGCACTGAAAAAACTCAACAAGAATGAGAAACTGGTCAAGAAGCTGGCCATGAAGTATGATGCCTTTTTGGCTTCAGAGTCTCTTATCAAGCAGATCCCACGAATCCTGGGCCCAGGCCTGAATAAGGCAGGCAAGTTCCCTTCCTTGCTGACCCACAATGAGAACATGGTGGCCAAAGTTGATGAAGTAAAGTCCACCATCAAGTTCCAGGTGAAGAAGCTGCTGTGTCTGGCAGTGGCTGTTGGCCACGTGAAGATGACAGATGATGAGCTTGTGTACAACATCTACTTGGTGTCATTGCTCAAATAGAACTAGCAGAATGTCCGGGCTTTATACATCAAGAGCATCATGGGCAAGCCTTAACACCTGTACTAAGTAAGGCACAGCTTAATAAACCATACTGCTACCAAAATAATAATAATAATAATAATAATAATAATAATAATAATAATAATAATTACTTCCCTGACATTCCATATAATATACCCTCCACCCCAGACTCCTAGTACTTTCTATCAATTTATCCTACCTTATTTTTCTACCTCTTATTTACTTTTGCCCTCTCCTCTAACAAATAAGCAAATTGAGAATACTTTGTCTTCTTCACAATTATATCCCCAGAACTAAAACATGGCCTGACATGTTGTAAGTGTTTGATAAATAGTTGCTGAATGAATGAGCTTTGACCCAAGTGAATGGAACCCTCCCTTATAGTTATGTAGTCATAGTTGTTTAATCTCTCATGGCTTCAGATTCTTCATTTCCTACCTTAGAGTGTTGTCAAGAGGATTAAATGAGACAATACAGTTAAAGCATTTATCACAGTGTTTGGCACACAGCGAGTGGCTCACGCATTCTTTGTATTTTATATTCTGATATATTAACTTATTTCTGCAATTTCTGTTACCCTTTCTCCCAAATTAGGCAGCAGGAGCCAGGCAATTATATACCCATTGCCTCTGTGGAAAAGATGACCAGAGAACCTAATTCTCATCTTTTATGACAAAAAGATTTGGAAAACTATGTCATCAGGTGGGACCAGTGGCCTCTGTCAACCAATGGTCATTAGAGCCAATTTAACACCGACAGGAATTGCCAATTTAGGGTACGATAAAGGAGGAAACTTTATTCACTGCAGACAGCTCAATTGTGATATAGCACAGCTGTGGAACAGCTCAATTGTTTTACAGCTCAATTATGAAATAGCTTGGCTATTAGGGGGTCGTTGGCCGAGGTGCCTCTCAAACTATACAGCTCTACTCCAGTGAGATGTTTTTGGAGTTTCAGGTTCAGCTGGAGTAATGCAGTCTTCCATGTTTGGTGGAAAGGGAAAGTGTGCTCCCCAAGCCAGAGAGGAACTGACTTATATAGAGAAAAGTCCTCACCCCTGGTCCCGGATTGGTCTCTCCTCATGTAAATGCAGACTCCAAATCCTGTTTCATTAGTTCAAAAGACACTGTCCTGATTGGATGGAATGGAGTTTCTCTGACTGGTTGGTGAAGATGCTAATGAGGGTATCTCTGCACAGCTTTTGTTGGATTGAGAAAGTCTCAGTTCTATTGGTTAAAATATGATTCCAAGTACTCTTTTATAAGGGTTGGCTCTGCCAGCAGGAACACAGTGCAGGCAGGCAGTTCAGTGCAGGCTTCTCCCTGAAGTGTGGCTTGTGTGAGAGGCCTCTGTTTAGAAATGGCTGCTAGGCTGTTTTTAAGTTTGAGCCCAGTTAGCCACTAGAAGCCCAACTTGGTAGGCATTTTTTTTCTCAGGGTCAACACCTTCCAAA